GATGGCAATCTGCCCAAGAAAAGAATACATGTGTGTGTTTATAGCTACGTTGACCAATCCAGTTACATATCTGACTCTGTGCACATATCTATATCTTCTCACTACACACAGGGAATAAATGCGCTATTCCCACCCCCGAAATTGGTGACTCTAGGTAAAGAGTTCTTCGTGCTCCTCTTGCGACTTTCCTGCCTGCTGGAAACGACTCCAGATGAAATGTAAGCCCCCGGAGGTTTGGAGGGAGGAGCAGCCGGCTGCTCAGCCGCAACCCAAGGAGTTCCCCCTTCCCGCCCGAGCAAACGAGGAGGCAGGGGTCGCCCGCGGCTTCTCCCTGCGTGAGGCTTTCTGTGTGCTCATCGCCGGGAAACCACGGCAGCTCTCTGCCAGCCTCCTGCGGGGGCCACCCTGCCGTGGCTGGCGCCGGGGCTGGACCGCCCAGGCAGGTCAGCCTGGGATCAGCCCCACGCACCCGCCGCGGCCCGTGCTGGAAACCAGAGGAGGCAGTGCGGCGCCCGCCCTCCCTGCAGCAGCCCACCCCACCGCCTCCAGGGGGCCTGGGGATCCCCTGCACCTCCAGCCATCTTTGCCGTTTCCTGCAGTTTGAAGACCACTGTCAAGAGCTCCCTGTTCCATTTTGGGTGTGAGAGCTGCTGCCTACGTATCACTTCCTGGGTGGACGTTGCGACGCGAGGCTTCAGCTGCTGCTGGGGACACCAGCACCCCATACCCGAGCGCCAGCTCAAGACCCGGCTACTTGGCTTCTGTCCAGCTCCCTGCTAATGCACCAGGGACGCGGCAGATGATGGCTTAAGCACTTGGGCCCCTGCCACCCATGGGGGAGACCCAGTAGGAGCTCCTGGCTCCTGGTTTTGGCCTTGCTCAGCCTCTGCTATGGCAGCTATTTGGGGAGTCACTCAGTTGCAACAGTGTTTCTCTCTCTCTCTCTCTCTCTCTCTCTTACAAATAAATTTTTTGTAAGGCAGAGCCACAGAGAAAGAGAGAATCTTCCATCCACTGGTTCACTCCTCAAATGGCCAAAATGGCCAAGGCCTGGAACTCCATCTGGGAGTCTCACGTGGGTGCAGGGGCCCACGTACATAAGCCATCGCCCACCGCCTTCCCAGGTGCATCAGCAGTAGCTGGATCAGAAGCAGAGCAGCCAGGACTTGAACCCGGGCTCTCATATGGGATGCCAGCGTTGCGAGTGGCAGCTTAACGCACTGCACCATGATCTGAGCCCCCAGGCTACTTCTTTGAAAGGTCAAGGGGCACCGCAGCCAAGGCCCTTGCGTGCCAGTTCAGGGAGTCTAGGTCGGACGCTGCTGGCTAAGTCAAGCACGAAGGACCAGAGCAGCCTCTTCCCCTCCCTGAGCCTCAGTTTCCTCCTCTGATAAATGGGGTTGGGGGTGACACACTACCCCCCCCCGACGCCCTGACACTGCCGGATGCACGCCCAACACTCCACGAGCGCTAGTCACTGCCACACCTCACCTTGGCCAGGCCGTGCTGTCACATCTCGCCTCCCAGACTGCGCTGGCCGATTAAGAACACCACGACTGAAAAGCCTGGGGACTGTGGACCTTGGGAAAACAGACGTAACCTCCAGTGCTACGAAAGCCCAGAACGGGGGCAACTCCCTTGGCCTGTCCTGCAGGAGAGTGGAGGAGTTAGGAGGATTCCTGCTAGCAGAGATGTCGAACACGGATACCAGCGGAGCACCTGGGGGTGCCAGGTGCATCCGGGTCCCGTGGCCGCCCCCGGTGAATAAAATGCTGTCTGCTCCCCTAGTACGTCCGTCGCAGGCCACACGTGCTATGATGAAAACCAGATAAACTGTGTAAGGGGACAGAGCGTTTACCCATCTGTGAAATGGGAGTACGCAGGGCTGGAACCTCAGCCCTGGCGCCGGGGTTGGTGCCCGGCAGCACAGCCGCGCTGGCCAGGGCAGAGGTTAGAGTCGGAACTTCACCGGATAGAATTTAAAAGGGGGGGGGTGGGGAATTCAAAAAAGAAGCAGCTTCACATGCTTTGCAATGTGTGCTCATTTGAATGGATTGCTCCGTTTATTTAGCAAGAAAACTTGGAAGAATAATAATAGGTTCTAGGCCCTGAAGGTAGATTGGGTGCTGGGACCCAGCCAAAGGGTTCAAGACGCTTGATCAGGCCCAGTGGGGAGCAGACCAACACTCCAGAGGCTGCCTGCCCACGGCCGCAGCTTCTGCACGGCTTATCCTGTGTGTCCCCGCCTCCAGACACGAAGCCCAGAGTGTTATCTACATTGAGCTCTCTGTCATCGTCACAGCTCTGAGCTCAGCACCATTATACAGATGAAGCAACTGAGGCACATAGAGGTTAGCCAGCACCCAGCGCTGGACAGCGGGGGCGAAAGCAGCACAGCTGGGCGAAGCGCTGGGTGTGATGAGAGCCCAGGAGAGGCCCCTGAGGTGACTGATCATGGAGGGCTTCCTGGAGGAGGGTCCATCGAACGCGAGGTGTGCAGGGTGAGTAGATATTAGCTGGGCAGATGGAAGAGCAGGACGGTTCAGGGACCAGCTCATGCAAAGGCTCAAGGTGGGAGAAGCAGACCCGGCCGGGGTCTGAGATGGGGGAGTAGGGAGAAGGAAGCTGGACAGGAGGCCCTCCGCCAGCCGGGGAGGGTCTGTGCGGCCTCTCTGGTGGGCGTGGGGATGAGCTGCCTGCCCCAGCTGGGGTCCCCCGTAGGGTGTGGGGAGGAAGCACTGATGTGAACCCCAGTAGAGGCAAGTCCACATGGGACAGGCAGGGGCCACGTGGGACAGGCAGGGGCCACGTGGGACAGGCAGGGCCATCTTCATGGTTTCCCTCCTGAGATGCCAGGTACCTGCTTGAGTGCAAGCAGCCTCTGGGTTTGGAGACTCCCCGGGGCAGCCGGCCTGGGCCTTGCCTTCCAGGGTAGAGCCAAGGTGTCTCCAAGAAGGATGGCGCTTAAAGGGACAGAGCTGCGAACAGCAGGAGCGACCCCAGGGAGAGACCTCGGGGCAGCCTGAGGAGACCTGGTCTGGTTATTCCTCTTCACAGCAAGAACAAAAAAGACCTTTGCAGGGATTACGCAAGGCTCCAGCGAGATAACTGTCAATGTTTCCAGCAGTCCCGGCCTTCGGCGCCCCTCCCCCAGTGGGCAAGCTGAATCATTTCCAGGGTGGCCTGCAGAGACCTCTGTGCTTATAGCCATAGCTCGATGCAGACAGAGCCCATGGCAGGATCCTAATAAGGCATCTGATGATTCTTTTGCTTTGAGTGGGAGTCCATTAGGCTCCTTGTAGGGACATTTTTTTGGGGAAAAAAAAAGTGGAAAAGCAGAACAAAAAGCCAAGCTGTCAAGGCAGTCGCTGCTTTCAACCCAGGTCTGTGTTTTCCTAAGAAAGGCAAATCCTCTTGGCGCAACGCACTGGGAAGTAGCTTTGTGTTCCGGACCCCGGGCCACCCACACGACGTCAAGAATTACTGCTCAAGTCCTGCAGAGCAACAGCCCCCTTGCCTACCCTCACCCCTGCCCCAGTTTCCCCACCTCTTCCCTGTCTCCCAGGCTGATCAGGAGGCTGGGCTGCCCGGGTGGCCACCTCCCCGTCCACCATAGACACACCCCGCCTTCCCTTTGACACCCGCAGCTGCGGGTCCCCCTGTGAGGCTGCGGCCAGCTGCAGTGACTCATGGCATGACTCACTGGCCTGCTGGGACTCTCCCTCTTCACTCCAAGGCCCTCCCCACCCCCACCCCCACCCCCCATGCATGGGGGCTCTGCAAAGGGTGGCAGAGGGCGTGTGGAGAGCACCAGCTGTGGGGCCAACCAGATGCATGGCCCAGTTCTGACCTTGTCTGCCATGTGACCCTCTCTGACCTCCCCGTCCCCATCTGTAAAATGGGGGTGTAACAGTTCCCCTCTAGATAGCGCCGACCCCTGTGCAGTGGCTCGGTCACGGTCACTGCTACTATTGTCCTCTCGGCCCCGGGTGGTGGCAGGAGCCAGTGGAGCTTGCTGCGGGCCTCTGTCTCCACACTCCCCACCCCCAGGCCACTCTGCCTGCCCCGTGGAGCTCACAGGCCTCTCCATGCACCATGCCCTCTGACCCTCCTCCCAGGCTTTTCTGGCTGGATAACTCCTTCTCATATTTCAGGAATCAGAGGGAAGCCTCCAGGGACCTCCCGCAAACACACCTCCACCCTCAGTCCAAATAAACCGCTTCCTCCCCAGGATCTGGCTGCCCTGGACGCTATGCGGTGCATTGTATTGAAGTTACATGTGCGGCCCAGGGGTTTCCCCGCAGGCCCCCCCGGGCGTAGGGGTCAGCAGCCCTTTCCAGTCGTGCCCATAGCCCCCCACCCCGGGCCTTCCCAACAGAACCCTCCTCCCCAGGCCCCTGCTTCTGGGAAAATCCACTCCGTCTTGCTTCCTGCTGGATCCAGAGGAGTCTAAAGCAGTCTTCCTCTTGCTTGGGCCTGTGACCAGGGATAGTCCGGGTGGGGGGGGGACCACAGGACTCAGCCTGCCCAGTCGGAAGGAGTCTGGCTTAGGGAGCTGGCTTCTTCTCCCCGCTGGGGAGAAGCTTGGACACCTGGTCCCCTCGGTGTTCCTGGCAGCCATCTTGCTATCAACAGGTAGGTGCCTTTGGGCAGAAACCAGCAGCGAGGGCGGCAGAGTAGGAGACGGGAAGTCCTCAAGTCCTGACACCATCACTGAACCACTGAGCCCGTCAACGCCAGGTTGCCAGGGCCAGGAGCCAGGGAAATCATAAATTCTCTCGGTAATTATCCAACTGAGTCTGGTAGTCACATCTCCACCGAGCTCCCATTTCAGGAATGGAGAGCTTTCCACGCGCCGAGCACTGTCCTGAGAGCTTCAGGTGCACCCATCCGTTGAACACACCTACAGTGGAAAGGGGTGGGGGGGGCGCGGCTCATGGCGCATTGTCTAGGCGAGACCCCCTGGGTCTCCCCGTCTTTGCTGCTTAACCCCACTTTGCCTCAGTCTCCGCAGCTGGAAATAACGCCTACGTGGGAGGGTTACAATAGAACATGTCAAGTTTGTGTGTGGTAGTGAGGCCCTATTGCTTTCCGTCTCCATCCTGCTGGTCCCATTGTCTCTACACAGGCCCCCGTGTCCCCTTGGGTCATCCCCAGGTCATGGGCAGAGGAACTGGCATGATGACTTCACTTTACTCCCCATCAGATTGGCCACACTGAGGTTTCCGCGGACAGAAGGGACAGACAGACGTTGGAGGCGGGAGTCACTTGGGCTTCCATGGGAACGCCATACAGAGGCCTTGAACCTTTGATCTCCTCATCTCCGGGGTTTGCTTTTGGCAGAAACCAGGCTTGGAACGGCCCTCAGCGAATGGCAGGTGCAGGAGAGGATTGATCGGGAGTCCAGGGCCGCGGTACGTTGATGTCAGATCCTTCAGTTTGTCCTGTAACAGGCAACGATCTGTCCACCCACTCCCCCAAGGTCTGCAACAGCTGAGGCCGGAGCATGCTGAACCTGTTGCCCACAGCGGTGTGGATGCATTAGCAGAAAGCTGAATGGCAACAGAGTGGCCTGAACTTGAACCAGCAGACTTGCGGGATACGGGCATCCTAAGAACGAGTGTGCAGTGGGGCTGGAGCACAAGGCCCCTACAAGGAGCTGGGTGCATCTCTGACCCAGCCCGAGAGGTGGACCGCCCATGCTTCACAAGGAATCGAGGATTAGATGACTTTGGGAAAATGTCTTACCTTTGTAGCCCTCTTGGAAAAAACAATAAAAATATTCAGATAGCATAAGTGACTTAGATCAGCACAAAGCAGGAGCTGGAAAAGATACCAGGTTTTGCTGTTATTCCCATTTTACAGATGAGGAAACTGAGACTCAGAGCATCTATAACACGTCTGGCCTAAGGCAGCACAGGCAGTGAGCGTGCCAAACCACAGGGTCTAACTCTAACGTGCTGCCTTAGGGACAGGTGTTCCGCCTGGCGATTAAGATGCCACTTGGGATGTGCACATCCCGTATCCGAGGGCCTGGGTTCGAGTCTAGGTTCCACGCTCAATTCCAGCTTCCTGCGAATGCACACCCTGGGAGGCCACAAGCAATAGCTCGAGTGGTTGGGTCCCTGACACCCACATGGGAGCCCCGACTTGCGTTCTGGTCCCCCTGCTTCAGCCTGGTCCAGACCAGCTAGTGTGGGTGTCTGGGGAGTGAGCCAGTGGGCGGGAGACCTGCTCATCTCTCTGTCTCTGAAATCTGTAAAATGGGTAAGTAAGAAAGCAAGTCTGCTGCCTTAACCACGTGCCTCATACCCCCAGTGTGAGAGGTGGGGGAAGTGCAGGGCAGGCCACCTGACTGGCCAGCCTCCCGGCGGTGCCTCCAGCAAATTCCCAGTCCCCAGAGGCCTGTGGAATCCCATGTGCTGTCCACACCCCTCACTGCTAGGACAAGGAGCACTCCCACCCCCACCGTCGCCCGGCCCCCAGGGTGTGGCAGATGGCCCGGAAGAAGTGTGACGACAGCTCCAGTTCCAGCATCAAACATCCCAGCTAACGTGCCCACCCAGGGAGGTGCCCGCGGTGCTGGGGCGCCACGTCTCGGCTCGCACCCTTCCTCAGGCACTCGGGTCTCCAGCAGCCCTGGCCCTGGCCCATTTTCTTGCCCAGGGCCTTGGCTCCAGCCCTGCAGGCAGCAACCAGTGCAGGGCAGCGTCTTTCACCCCGAGGGTGCCAGCAGCGCCTTGGCCATGCAGCGCCCCTCCTCTGCCTGGACGAGTGCCGTGGCCGTGGCCATGGCCGTGGGTGGGCGGATCCCAGGCTGTGGCTCCAGGGCCCGGTCTTGTAGCGAGGGTCTGAGGAAGGCAGGACAGCTCCAGTTCCCCCTCGCCCTTCCCGCTGCCCGCTGAGTCACCGTGGGAGGCAGCCCCCCCTGCCTTTTCCCGTCCTCGGCTCGAGCTTGGGCTCCGGAAGAGCAGCAGGATGTGAGCTGCGCCCAGGCCCTCTCTGGACTTGGCGGAGTGGCGGGTGTTGGCAGGCTGTGCCCTGGAGCCTGGGCCCATGGCTCAGCGCCCCACAGCCCGCAGCCCGAGCAGTCTGTCCCAGGAGCTGAGCCGTGCACACAGGGGACAGCTGGGCACTCTGGGTGTACCCCAACTCTTGAATAGAGGGGCAGGGTGGTGGAAGTCAGAGGCTGACCCCCATCGCATACCTTTAATCTGCCCCAGTTGCCGCCCTCATCTGTAAAACTTAATGGGGGGTAGTGATTGTCATTGCCCCCCAGGAGTGACAAGGGCTGAATGCATTTCTCCCCGCAGAGCCCCCGGAGCAGTGCCTGGCCCAGACACCAGGCCTGTGCGTCTTACAGGAAGCACAGGAATTCAGTAAACATTGACGAAGGGCCTGCCGCTGCCCGGTCCAGGCCAGGTGCTGGGGACAGACCTGGCACTGCCCTGCTGGGTGGAGCAGAGCTGGGGAAACTTAGCAAACGGGCCCCAGGGCCCCGCACAGAGAAGTCTAAATGAAGACTGAGGTGTGGGGAGGGGAGGGAGCTGATGGAGAGCTCGCAGCTGGAGGGTGGCAACAAGCGTGGGCCCTTGCATGTGCCAGGCACACCACTGTCGGGTCACAGTTTTGTCAGCGACCCCAGGTTACAAGCGAAGAGCGGAGCACAGAGTGGCTGAGTGACTTGCTTGAGGTCACACTGCTGTACCCGAGGCAGCGGGATGAGCGAGCAGCACACTGAGACTCAGCACCACTACCGATGCTGCAAACTCTATCATCTTCTTCCTCCCCACGCCCCCAGATGAAGTGGCTACCAACTTCTTAGATGCATTTATTTTATTTGAAAGGCAGAGTTAGAGAGTTAGCACTCTTCCCTCCACTGGTTCTCTCCCCAGATGGCCACAACGCCTGGGGCTGGGCTGGACTGACACCAGGAGCCAGGGGCTTCATCCAGGTCCCCCACATGGGTGGCAGGGACCCAGGGACTTGAGCCATCTTGTTCCACTTTCCCAGGCCATAGCAGAGAGCTGGATTGGAAGTGGAGCAGCCAGGACTCGAACTGGCACCCATACGGGATGCTGGCATCGTAGGCAGCAAGTTAACCTACTACACCACAACGCTGGCCTTTGAAAGGAGTCCCATTGGGGCCCGCATTTCAAAGATAAAGGAAGTGAGGCCCAGGGAGGCTGTGTGCTTGCCCACGCTCTCTTGGGTCAGCCGTGGCCGAGCTGGGTTCTCCCAGCCCTGGGACTCCTGGGTCCCAGGCCTCTGAATTCCCAGCTGGCTCTTCTTGGCCCGGCCCAGCCGTCCCTGTGCTGCCGTTTCTGGCGTGTGCGTGCACAGATTGCAAAGTCACTGACCCACAGTCTGGACAAATGAGCATTGTGAGCAGAGTCCTGCCAAGCAACCAGGGCCAAGTGGACACGTCCTGGACTAGCCACAGGCCCCTCCCTCCAGCCTGACCCCGAAATCCAGGATTCTCTGGGTAGGCTGGACTCCAGGGCTGGACTCTGGGCTCTGCACTCACAAGATATGAAGGTGGAACTATAGCAGAGCTGCGGGTACACAGGGCTCTAAGATCCCCGTTCTGGACGGTGCAGGACAGCTGAGTGGGAAGATCACTGACCCTAGAGCCAGGCTGCCTAGGCTCCAAGCCCAGCTCTGCCGCCAGCTCTGTGCCCTCCACGGCCTGGGGCCACACTCACCCTCTCTGCCCCCTAGGAGGGCAGTGCAGTTCCCACAGCACAGGGTGGATAAATGCTCAGCACATAACAGACCCGTGCATTTGTCATTTTAGAGAAACTGGGGCGTGAGGAAGTGAAGGGATGTGCCCCTCACACCCGTGCCATGTGCAAGAGCCAGGCCTTGAACTCGAGTCTGTCCAAGTTCCAAGCGGTCTTCCCTGCATGCCCCAGGGTACGGAGCGCCTCGAAGGATGAGTGGGAAGTTGAGGGGGAAAGAGCTGGATTGCTGGCTGGGGCAGAGGAAGCCGCTTTGCACTGAGACAGGATCGGGCTGCAGCTCAAGGATTGCTTCCAGGGCAGGGCACCCTCCCCACCGTGCCCGGCTGCTCTGGGGCCTGCCCAGGGTGACAGCAATTCTGGGCATGTGACAGGAATCCCCCCGGGCCAGGCCAGATATCAGACATTGAGAAAAAAACAGTCACACGTAGAAAGTCAGCAGCCCAGTGGGAGATGGATGTGCCGACGAACCCCCAACAGCCAAACAAGGATGCCGGCCAGCGTGCACAGCCGCGGCGTCGATGCTCCCCGGGAAGCAGCTGCGGAAGGCGTGGGAACAGGGCCCTCACAAGCTGGACCAGGTGCAAGAGGGGAAAGTGGGTACGCCCCAGGCGGAAGGCCCGCGGGAGCAGGGAGGGTCACAGGGCAGTGGGGTGTCTGGGCAAGTTCTGCACGATAGGGCTGCAGAGGTGGGTCAAGGTCAGGGTGGGAGGGCCTCTGTACTGGTCCAAACTCCTGAGTCAGGGTGGGCATTTGGCACAATGATTAAGACACATGGGCACTTGTTCCAGTCCCAGCTGCTCCACTTCCAGTCCTGCGCCCTGCTGTGGCCTGGGAAAGCAGCAGAAGATGGCCCAAGTGCTTGGGCCCCTGCACCCACGTGGGAGACCCAGATGCAGGTCCAGGCTCCTGGTTTCGGCCTGGTCCAGCCCTGTCTATCACAACCATTCAGAGAGTGAACCAGCGGATGGGAGACCTATGTGTATATGTGCGTGGTGTGTGTGTGTGTGTGTGTGTGTGTAACTCTGCCTTTCAAATAAATAAATTTTTTAAAAGGGTAGGGGTGTGGCGCTGTGGCATACCGGGTAAAGCAGTGGCCTGCAGTGCCAGTATCCCATGTGGATGCCAGTTCAAGTCCCAGCTGCTCCACTTACGATCCAGCTCTCTGCTGTGGCCTGGGAAAGCAGCAGCAGATGGCCCAAGTCTGTGAACCCCTGCACTCCCGTGGGAGACCCAGAAGAAGCTCCTGGCTCCTGGCTTCGGATTGGCACAACTCTGACTGTTGCAGCCATTTGGGGAGTGAACCAGCGGTTGGAAGACCTCTCTCTCTCTCTTCCTCTCTACCTCTGCAACTCTTTCAAATAAATAAATGAATCTTAAAGGGAGGGTGGGGGGCTAGCGTTGTGGTATAGGTAAAGCCACTGCCTACAATGCCGGCATCCCATATGGGCCCCAGTTTCTGTCCTGGGTGCTCCACTTCTGATCCAGCTCCTAGGTAACAGCCTGGGAAAGTAGTGGAAGAAGCCCAAGTACTGGGGCCCCTGCCACCCACGTGGGAGACCAGAAGAAGTGCCTGGCTCCTGGCTACAGCCTGGCCCATCCCTGGCTGTTGTGGCCATTTAGGGAGAGAACCAGCAGATGGAAGAGCTCTCTCTCTGTCTCTCTCTCTCTCCTTGTGTCTCTCTGCATTTCAAATAAATAAATACAGATTTTTTAAAAAGAACTCTTGGGTTGCAAGAGTCAGAAAGCTGAATTCTAAGAGACTTAGAGGAAAAAGAAATTTCCTCAAGAAGCTGAAAAATTCAGGTTATCTGCTCAGGCACAGCTGGCCCTGGGGCTCAGACAATGCCACCAAGATTTGGCTGTGCCACCTCTCGGCTTCTCCTTATCCTTTCCAAGCAACCAGAGCTCTGGCCAACAAACTACTAGTTCCAAGCCCGGTGGAAAAAACTCCAGTCTCCAAATGTCTAGACACAGGTTTGGGGATGAGACTTCATTGGACAAATCGAGGTCATGTGATTAGTCCTAAGCCAATCGCTGAGCGGCGGGAGTGAACATGGAGCATCTAATTGGCCAGATTGAGGGTCACAAGTCTATCTTGAGGCCTGAGCCCCGCCCCAACCACGTGGCCTGAGAATGGGTGGGGCTGGTTTCCCAGGGTAAAGAGAGCCGGGGCTCAGACAGACAAGGAATGGCCACTGGGCGGGCAAGGCAGCGTGGACACCCTGCGGCCATGGGCATCTGGGCAGTGGGGAGCCAGCCAGGCCCTGAGCCATTGGGCTGGAGCTGGGCTTTGGAGTGGAGAAGAGTGGATGCGGACAGAGAGGCCTGAGAGACCCCGGAGGCCCAGGCGAGAGCCGTGGCCACGCGGGAGACGCAGGCCCGCCGGCTGGGCTGGCCGGTCGTTACTGGAAGGGCAGTTTCGAGAACCGAGAGCTCGTCACCCTCTGGCTCTGGGCCTGCAGATGCCAGCACTGCGTGGGCCATCCCCGCCCCCGATGCCCCATGACTAACACTTTCCCTCCCTCTGCCCGCAGCCTACCGCTCCTGGGGCCCGGGGAAGCCCACTGCCCCGCGGCCAGCCGTGGGAGGGGAAGGTGCTGGGGGCTGAGCGCCTATCCCAATCCCGGACTTGCAGCCCCTTCCTCCATTTCTGACACCCCCCCCCCACCATGGCCCCTGGGGCGGGAACATCACCCCAGGGGCTGCAGGCAGGCCAGCTCCTCTGCTGTGAATGGGGCCATTGTGAGGTCCCCCTGAGAGCTGGCAGCCACCACCGGCTCCGCCTAGGGCCGCCTGCAGGGGCGGGGGGGGGGGGGCCCAGGGGGCCATGGCTGCTCCAGGGGGCTTCGGGGACCTGAGAATGCCGCCCTGAGTTTCCACCTGCCTTGGGTCCCAGGCAGGAGGCTGGGGACAGGGCTCACCCACGGAACCCTCGGCACTTTGGGGCAAGAAGGACTTGCCAGGCAGGCCCTGGCATAACCAGGGCTTTCACCAAACTGAAAGCTGTAATGTGCCGGAAGGGGCCAGAACCCTGCCATCCCTGGCCCGGCCAGTCCCGAAGGAGAGAGGTGGGACGCTGGGGGCGGCGGGGAAAGGTTATGAGGTTTGGAGGTGGGCGGGGGTAAAGGGAGGAGCCTGGGACCTGCCACTTCACCACGGAGCCGTCCAGCCTGAGCCTGCTGTGATGGTGTCATCGTACTTAGCTGCTCGTCACTGAGGACTTTCTGAGTATTTGGGCACAATGCCAAGAACTACCTCATTTAGTCTTCCTAACAGTCATACAAGGCAAATATCCCCCAGGGCTGTCATGTAGTGTTGCCCAGGTTGTTCACTGCACAAAGTGGGGCAGGAGGTGTGAGTGGTAAAATGCGCCAGTGCTCTACTCACAGCCGTGTCCCTGTGGGTCCCCACGGCTGAGAAAGTCCTCGTGCCCTCGGGTTACAGCTGAGAGGAGTGAGGATTCGAGGAGGTGAAATGCCTTGTCCAAAGTCCGGCAGTTACTAAGGTACAGATCTGGGACTGGAAGCTCACAGCTGCTGACTTCGGAACATCTGAGTGACCCCCAGGCCCCGACGGCCAGGCCTATGCCCGAGCAGGCAGTTCTGCTCCGGTCCCAACTGCCAGCGGAAGCCGAGGCAGGCAGGCTGCAGACGCGACTCGCAGAGCGGGAGCCGTGCCTCAGTCTTCCCGCCTGCAGAGTGGGTGCTTCAATGAGCGCTCTTCAAGAGGCAGGCACGTGCAGGGAGGGGTCTAGGGCTGGCAGGGCCTGAAACCCCACCCCCGGGCCCAGCACACCTCCTGCTGCCAGAAGCAGAGGGAGCGCGCGTGGCAGCCCCAGCACCTGAGCCCCGCGACGTGATGGGCAGGCGTGGGGCCGCGTAGGGGTGCAGGGCTAAGCTGCTGCCTGTGCCGCCGGCATCCCATGAAGGCGCTGGTCCATACGGGTGCCCGGCTGCTCCACTTCCCATCCAGCGCTCTCTATGTGCCTGGGAAAGCCACAGAGAAGAGCTTGGGGCCTTGCACCCTCATGGAAGACCTGGGTGAGGCTCCTGGCTCCGGCCTGGCCCAGCCCTGGCCATTGCGGCCATCTGGGGAGTGAACCGGAAGGTGGAAGACCTCTCTCTCTCTCCACCCCCCCTTCCGTATTTGTAAACTCTGACTTTCAAATATATAACTAAATCAAGAAAACGAAAAAGGAAGGGCACTCCTGCCGGGCTCCCAGGGGTGGCCTAGATCACGCGAGGGCCGTGTGGTGCAGGCCGCAGGCTGTCCTGGGGCACGTGACACACGGGGGCAGCGCGGGTCGCCCGTCCCGGAGAGGAGCAGCGTGCGCAATGCCGGGGTCTGGGCCCCGTCCCCGGGGGCGTCCCTGTCTCCACAAGGCCCACTCAGGGCCCCAAGGTGTCTACACCCCTCCGAGGGATTCCCGGCACTCAGAGGCATTCCCGGCACCCATTGCGCAACCTGAAGGGATGCAGGGGGCGTGCTGGAATTTCAGGCATCCGTGAGGACGCCACTGGGCGGGGCTTTGCGCCGTCACCGCCAGCGGGGCAACACCCACTTCGTTTAGGAGACTTGAGTGGGGAGGGGGCGGCCGCACACCCCCAGCCCCGGCTGCGAGAGGCCTAAGAGGCCTGGTCACCCGCACCGTGTCACTCCTGGGGGGCTCCACTCGTGTCCTCGTGGGCCCTTACGGGCCTCAGGTCCCCGCCACGGCTCAGCGTCCACGCCTGCCACACGGGGATGGGCTCACTGCAGAGCTCGCCCCGCGAGATCTTTCTGAGCTTCGAATTGGGACAACTCACGAGAGAAGCCTGGTGGCGGGGAGTGTGTGTGTGTGTGTGTGTGCGCCCACCCGCGCTTCCGGCCCAGGTGCTAAAGAAAGATGAGGGACGGGGCAGGCCTCGCGGGACAGGGCCCGTGTGGGTCCTCTCGATGCTGGGTGTCCAGGGCAGCACGGGGCCGGCACGGCCAGGGGGCCCAGAGACTGCCAGCTGAGCGCTGTGTGAGCCAGCTGCCGTCACCCTAACACAGTCCCCGAGGCAGCCTAACCTGACAAAGGAAACACTTCTGGTCCTCTGCCTGGGCGTTCTTGCTGGCACCAGACATCACAAAGCAAGAGACAGGGAGTGCAGGGGCCAGCGCCTGTGGTGTAGCGGGTAAAGCCACCGCCTGAAGCGCCGGCATCCCATATGGGCGCTGGTTTGAGTCCCGGCTGCTCCTCTTCCGATTCAGCTCTCTGCTATGGCCTGGGAAAGCAGTAGAAGATGGCCCAAGATGAGAGACCCGGAAGAAGCTCCTGGCTCCTGGCTTCGGATCCAGCACAGCTCTGGCCGTTGTGGCCAATTGGGGAGTGAACCAGCAGATGGAAGACCTCTCTCCTTCTCTCGCACTCTCTCTCTGCCTCTATCTGTCTTAGGGTCTCTAAAGAAGTTACCAGAACTTAGACATGGGGTCTCCACCCTAATCCAATCTCACCACTTTCCAAGACCCCACCTGTAGGCCCCCGAATTGGAATGTTCACTGTCTTGGCACCGCTGACGTGAGACTCCCTGCAGGGATACCAACCCTGTGGCGACAGACAACATGTAGCTGGCCTGCCGCTCTCCATGTATGCACTCCTAATCTTCACAACGACACAGCTACCGTCATCATCATCCCCATTTTAGAGACAAGGAAACTAAGGCAGAGAGAAATTAAGTCATTCGCCCAAGGCCATGCAATGAGTAGGAAGCAGGGCTGGCCTCCAGGGCCGTGCTCCTGAATGACCAAGTGACTGACAGAGTGAATGAATGAGGCTATGACTGAATTAGGTTTGGGGTTCAGATTCACCAAACCTTTGTTTTGGGGGCATGGGCTGAAGCCTCCCCCAAGAACTTCTCTTTTTAAATTAGTCTGTCATTGGCATTGTGGTGTAGCAGGTAAAGCTGCTGCCTACAATACTGGCAGCCCATATGGGCACTGGTTCGAGTCCCAGCTGCTCCACTTCTGATCCAGTTCCCTGCTGATGGCCTGGGAAAGCAGTAGAAAATGGCCCAAGTCCTTGGGCCCCTGCACCCGCGTGGGAGACCCAAAAGATGCTCCTGGCTCCTGGCTTTGGCTTGGCCCAGCCCAGGGCACTATGGCTATTTGAGGAATGAACCAGTGGATGAAAGATCAATATCTCTCTCTCTCCCTCCCTCCCTCCCTCTGTGTGTGTGTGTGTGTGTAACTCTGCCTTTCAAATAAATATATGTTTAAAAAATAAATAAATATTTTAAAAAATAAGTGAGTGAATCTACCAGCAGTCTGCAGTATTTAGACTTTCTGCAGGGCAGGTGTGTGGCACAGTGGTGAGGTCACAACTTGGGATGCCCACATCCCATGTAAGAGTGCCTGGTTTCAGTTCCATTCTTCCACTTCTGATCCAGCTTCCTGCTAAAGCGTCCTGGGAGGGAGGCAGTGTGGACAGCTCAAGTACTCGGGTCCCTGCCACCCACATGGAAAACCGGGATGGAGGTCCTGGCTCCTGGCTTTGGAGCTGTCCAGCCCCTGGCTGTCGTGGGCATTTGGGATGGAAGATATCTCTCTCTCTCTCTCCTTGCTTTTCAAGTACAATGAGGAAAACAATTTCTTTAAAGAAACCATTTTGCACGCACAGCAGCATGTCCTCAGTGGGGTGTCCTCCTCTTCCTCCAAATCTGTCCGCATCTTCTCTACCCAATCACAGCTCGCGCTGTCACTGGGAAGTTTTCCCAGCTAGAAATTCCCGAGGCATCCCTGAGGCCTCTCTCTCTCTCTCCGGCCCGAAGGGTTTCTGGACTGCTCCTCCAGGTCACAGCAGAAACTTGGACGCCACGGCTGGGACACCCCCTCTGCTGCAGGGTTGCATGAACTGTGGCACCAGCATGGCAGCCTGCAGCGAGGGGCTGCACGGCCATGCCCTGCCCTAAGGCTGCTGCTAAAGTAATCTAGTAGAACATAGTGGCTGGCCGGTGCTGCGGCTCACTAGGCTAATCCTCCGCCTTGTGGCACCGGCACTGCCTTGTGGCACCGGATTCTTTCCCGGTTGCCCCTCTTCCAGGCCAGCTCTCTGCTGTGGCCCGGGAAGGCAGTGGAGGATGGCCCAAGTGCTTGGGCCCTGCACCCCACGGGAGACCAGGAGAAGCACCTGGCTCCTGCCTTCAGATCAGCGCAGTGCGCCGGCCGCAGCCCGCCAGCCGTGACGGCCATTGGAGGGTGAACCAACGGCAAAAGGAAGACCTTTCTCTCTGTCTCTCTCTCTTTATTTATTTAAAAGGCAGAGTCATAGACAGAGAGAGGGAGAGACAGAGAGAAAGGTCTTCCATCTGACTGTTAGGAAACTGGCACAGTTGTAGCCAGGTGGCCGCATGGCCCGGATACCTGAGCCAGGCTCCACCCCCATCCTAATGAGATTCGCTGCTCCTGCTTCCCTGCCCTCCCTCAGGCAAAGTTTTAAAAGGGCCTGTTCCTGAACACATACTCTCTTGACTCTTCTCTCTCGGTTCCTCTCTCTAGCCTTCTCCTCTGGGCTCTTGGCTCTCTCTCTCAGCTCCTCTCTGCTCTCTTCTCTCCTTGCTAGCTCCTCTCCTCTCTGTTTCTCTTATACTCTCTTTCTCTTTTTCCTTCACCGCCCCTTCACTCCAGTCTGTAGGGTGTTCCCCAATAAACCCTTTCCCTTACTCC